GCTAGATCCAAATAAACCCCACTTTGTCTGATGCCAATGTCTGTACTATTTCCACGAAACTATCTTGCTTGCTGTGGTCATTCCAAGAGGAAAATAGCCTAGTGGGTGAAAAAGCTGAATGTGCCCAAACCATATACTTCCATGGGGCTCAGGGGAATTGTTTAAATGAACTCAAGTGTGCGTTTATTCGTCAATCTACAAAATCTCTCTGAGATTCCAAAAGGGAAAACAAAATTCCCTCTCAGGCACATAATTGAGTATAGATTTCATTTTATGTTCCTTTCCTTTTTGTTAAATCAGAAAATCATATCTGGGGGAATGTTGTTGAGTTGCACAGGTGTGTGTGTATATAACTTGAAATGTCTGATGTATATTAGCCAATGAGTGCATAAATAACTGATGCTATGTGCTCTAAGAAAGAGGGCACCAGACCAAGAAACACAATTAAGAAGTGGCCCAGCCCCATCACTTTCTTAGAAGAACAGTCTGCCCTAAGCCCATGGGGTGTGGGCAGAGCTGGTTAGTGGGAGGAACAATCACTGAGACAGAGAAACTGAGGCCCCAACTAAACCTGGGACTGTAAATGTTGATTCTGTATTTTGGAGCATTTCTACAGTGTCAATCTATTAATCCCAGTCATAAAAGAAAGACTGTGATTCTAGGATGATGACACTGATAATAATCATATGAGGTAGGTATTACTCCCCCTCTCCTTTTTTTTTGAGACAGAGTCTCACTTTGTTGCCCTGGGTAGAGTACCATGGGGTCACATCTCACAGGAACTTCAGACTCTTGGGCTCAAGCAATTCTCTTGCCTTAGCCTCCAGAGTACCTGGGACTACAGGAGCCCATCATAATTCCTGGGTATGTTTAGAGACAGGGTCTCCCTCTTGCTCAGCCTGGTCTCGAACTCCTGAGCTCAAGTGATCCACCTGCCTCGGCCTCCCAGAGTCCTCCTCCTGGGATTATAGGCGTGAGCCACTGCAATCAGCCTACTATTCTCTTTTTTAAAAGAAGCTAAAGTCACCTGTCCAAGGTGATATATCTAGTGAATGCCTAAGCCAGGATTCAAACACAGATTAATCTGACACCTAGAGCTTGCGTTCTCAGCCACTAATGTATTTTCTTTGCTCACTGTAAAGGCCATCATCAAAACATGTGATTGAGAATCAGATGACCTGAGTTTTATTTCATCTGTATCATTTACTAGATGTGTGACCAGGGAAAAGTCCCTGAACCTCTTTGAGCTCCAATTTACATATCAAGAAATTAAGCAAATAATAATAATGTCTACTATTCAAGGTTTCTATGAGAATCAAATAAAATAATAGTAGTCAACTTGAAAAGTTTTACACAAATTTTGCTTAAATTTCCCTAACTCACAACTGTGAGATTAAAACATAATGTATATAGAAAAGACTAGGTATTGAACCATTGCCTTAAGGGGGCTTTTTAATCACCACTTTCTAAATTATCAGTGAGGTTATTTTATTTTCATCATTTAAAATACATGAAACAGATGCTGCCTATTGTTATAATTACTATTATCACCATCCACTAGCACTGAAAATGGTCCCCTGAGATCACGCCTTATCAAAAAACTAGAAGCCTAGATTTTCTGTTCCAAACCATTTGTGGCATGTCCTAAAGATAGCATCTTTGGAAAAAAACAAATTTAGCCCATATTCACTGCCTGTATTTCCCCTGCCAATGGTCTCAGCCGGCATCCACAATTACTCACATTCATGCTGTTCGTAGGGTGGGTAGCTCAGCCGAACAGAGATCAGGATCAGGAAGATAAATAGAGGCCAGGCCACTTCCAGCAGCAGCTGACACTGAGCAGAAAATAAGACAGAACACTGTGAATTTAAAAAACAATATGCACGCCTAATGCCACTGGATTTGGGGAAATCTAAAGAAAGGTTTCCTTTAACAATCTATCCACTTCTCCAGTCTCTCCCATCACTCTCTAAGCTTTAAAAGCACTGAACTGCCCGCATTTCTCACCTTGTAACATGCCATCCCATACCCTGTGTCTTCCTTAAGAGAGTGAAGCTGCTTCCCATCCTGCTTCATCTGGCTCACTTTTTCATTCATTCTTCAAGATTTAACCAGGCATCATTTCCTTTCATCTCAGCCTGAGCTAATAGCCCTGCACCTGTGCTCTCACGGTAACCCATGTACACACTTCCCTTGACGTTTTCCTCCGGCCCTGAAACCGTCTCTTTCTATCAGTGGCTTCCTCACGGCAGGAGAGAACCCCAAGGCAGGCACCTGCTGGAGCCCCACTGGAGCCCCCTTTGCATTCCCTCCCTTAGCCGAGTACCAGGTATGTAAGGACTATTGTTGAAAAGAGAGGACCAGGGCAACCCACTGTGCTACAATACACAACACGCCTGCTCCCACAACTGCACACAACATTGCTCCCCATGGGGCTGAGGAGAAGACTTCAAAGGACAATGGAAATTCACAAGAAGGTCCACATTGACCTTTTTTGTACCCAGGACAGAAAGAACTAGAAAGAGTGGGAAGTCCTTCCCCAACCATGCAGGACTGGTCACCATCTTCTCCAATGAATTAGAAGAAATTAAAACAAGCATGATGGGGTTTCTCTTAAGGAAAACCCTGTCTTTATGAGTCATGGCTACGTCAGCAGAGAACAAGATGAAAATCACTAGACATAATTTAATTGAACCAGTGGTGTTCAGACAACTCGTCACACTGCCCGAGGTCTCTCACCTCCTCCATTACTTTCATTTCTAGATTCCAACGTTCTCATTAGGCAGAGCACCACAGAGCTGGTAAGAATCATGGGGCCTCAGGTTTAAGAGCAATCAAAACTGTGGCTTCAGAGTCACAAAACCAAAAGAACATTGGTATAAAATCTTTCTCTTTTTTTTTTTTCCTAAAGCAGATTTTCTTGATCTTTAAGTCTGTATATTTTTATTGTGGAAAATTTGAAAATAAAAAAATGCAGAAACGTTTTTAAAAAGGTAAATATAAATCTCCCTTAATCCTATCTCCCAAAGAGAATTCCCAGCAAATTGAATTAACCATGGTTCTCTGCTAATATCCT